TCTATTAAGTGTCGAAGAAATTTCGTTCTAAAAGAATACACTTTGCCGATCCCTGTCACAGCAAAACAATAAATATAAAGGGAGGAATATTTTTATTAGTTAAGCTTTGGCAGCCGACAGAAAAGGAATATGCACAGAAGGGGATATTGTTACTAAATGACTTATGCAGTCGGCCGTAAAGGGTTAAATGATATTTAAAAAAGTAATCCAGAGAGAATATGTTTTTTTTTTCTTGAAAAGTCAGAATGCTATTGACTATTTACAATAGTTTTTTAGAGACCCAATCAAAAACAAGGTATCTGAACATGTTTTTTTTTGCTTTTTGTAACACTGGTGATAGATCGAATAGATCAAAAAATTTTCTACCGTGCTTATAAATGGTCACAAAGTATCAATTATCACTAAATATATGAGATATTGCGATAAATTTATTCTGATTTAGTACTCATACCGTTATGACAGTAGTAGCTCATTTAAAGATCAACAATAATTTTCAACATGTTACGCTCTCTGTGATAAATGCTCGATAGGCTCATGGGAATTCTCTTCTAACCATCAGACTGCTTTTGCTTATTTTAAAAATAATATATTAAATAAGCAAAAAAAAACAAATTGATATAAGTCAAACTATTATTTTATGTATTTCTCATTTCTAGGATTTACTCCTCAAGTAAATGTTATTGTACTAGCTGCCACAAATCGTATGGATATATTAGATTCAGCTTTATTGCGACCAGGTCGATTTGATAGACAAATACATGTTGGTCTACCCGATATCAAAGGAAGGTATGAATAAATACCTTTATTTATATTTTATTCTATTTATTTTTTTTATTATTTTAATATTTTTAGATCATCTGTATTTAAAGTTCATTTAAAACGATTAAAAACATCTTTAGATAAAGATAATTTGTCTAGAAAATTATCAGCTCGAACTCCAGGTTTTTCAGGTTAGATTAATTAATAAATAATATTTAATTAGAATTAAAATTTTAAATATTCTATGTAAATTATTTTAGGTGCTGATGTTGCTAATGTATGTAATGAAGCAGCATTAATTGCAGCACGTGATTTAAATTCTGAAATTGAATTAAAACATTTTGAAGCAGCTATTGACAGAGTTATTGCCGGTAAGAAATATTTATTATTAAATTTTATTCTATTTTTATTTTATATATTTAATTTTCAGGTATGGAAAAGAAATCTCAAGTATTACAACCGGAAGAAAAGAAACAAGTGGCATATCATGAAGCTGGTCATGCCGTATGTGGTTGGTTTCTTCAACATGCTGAACCAATTATTAAAGTATCAATTATTCCACGAGGAAAAGCGTTAGGTTATGCACAATATATGCCAAAAGAACAATATTTATATACAAAAGATCAGGTGAAATAATGTTTGATGTTTTTTTCTTTTTAATCTAACCGATTCGCCAGAAGAAATGAGCCTTTTAGTATTTTTCATTTTTCTCATGTTCCTTTAAGACCTTAAGGTTAATGGTTTTTCTAGAAGATGCGCCGCGAAATACTCGACAAAATCGTACCTAAACTTCAATTTCAGTGCTTCAATCAAAGCAAATTATACGAAAGGCAAAAAAATGAAAACTTTCTAAACTCAAAAACAATTTATTTATGTTAACGTTTAAAAATGAGAAAAACCCGAATTAGCCATTTTGTAGCCCTGGCTTCGGTCTATCGTTTAGCTACACTTCCAATTTTTTTTTTACTAATTTTTTTTTCATTAATTTTTTACATTCTGTCTATAGTGGTGCTCTCAGCAAAAGTTCCATAACTCCATTAAAACAAAAGATTTTTGATCGGATTTGTTTGGTTTTTATCAGAAATGATCGCTCTTCTCTACGTAACTGCAGAATCAAAAAATGATCATGTTTTCCATTTGTTGCTTGAGTGCATTGCCGAAAACGACAGATTGTCAAACTATTTTCAAACTTCGTTCTCGAGCACATAATCTGTTCTAAAAACATTTTTTTACAGATCACGAGAAAGAGCACATTCAAAAGTACAAAAAGAACTGAGTTGTCACCTTTGCTACACTTTTTAATTAAAATAATAGCAGAAGAAAATGTTCGAGTGGAAAAAATACCAAATTTAGAAAGTTTTCATTTCTTTTGCCTTTCGTGTAATTTACTTCGTTTTCTTGATTGAAACTCTGAAATTAAAGTTTAGATATGATTTTATAGAGTATTTTGCAGCACATCTTTTAGAAAAAACATTAACCTTAAGATGTTAAAGAAACACGAGAAACATGAAAAATACTAAAGGGCTCATTTCCTCAGACGCATCCGTTATTTCTATGGAATTTTATGCTTTTTTTTTCTTACTTTTAGTTATTTGATCGTATGTGTGTACTTTTGGGTGGACGCGTGTCTGAACAATTATTTTTTAATAGAATATCAACGGGTGCACAAGATGATCTACAAAAAATAACACAATCGGCATATGCACAAGTAAGTAGGAAATATTTACAAAAATAGAATCTATTTCATTTTTATGAAGTAGGATGATGTATTTTATTTGAATTAAAGACATTTTTTTTTAATCTTTAACTATTATAATAAAGAGATTAGTTTCCAGTTTGTTTATATTTTTTGTCTTTAATATTTTATCTTAGGTTGTTCGTTTCGGTATGTCAGACAAAGTTGGTAATTTATCATTTGATATGCCACAACAAGGCGATATGGTATTTGATAAACCTTACAGTGAATCAACAGCACAACTTATTGATGATGAAGTGAGACAAATTATACAACGTGCATACAATTTTACACATGAACTATTAACTACGAAAAAAGATCATATTGAAAAAGTAGCAGAAAGACTACTAGAAAGAGAAGTTTTATCGAGAGAGGATATGATTGAACTTGTAGGAAAACGACCATTTAAAGAAAAAACAACATACGAAGACTTCGTAGAAGGAACAGGTACATAATAATAGAGTGAATCACTTTTGTCTGCTCTTTGAATAAAAGTGGATAGTTTAGAAGGAGAAAAAAAAAAAATGTTAACGTCTCTATTTATAAGTTAAATTCATATTTTTATGTTTACTCTACAACTTTATCGAAAATATTCTAGGTTCATTAGAAGAAGATACAACGTTACCAAAAGGTTTACAAGATTGGAATAAAGAACGTAATAAACCAGATGATCCACCGGGTAAAGATGGACAACAAGTTTTAGAAGAAGAGAAAAAAAGACAACAACAAGCAACGAACTCTTAGTCAATTTTAATATTTCGTTCTTGTATGTCGTCTTAATCAAGCCGATATTTTTTTCCTCGTCTCTCGTCGGCATTCTTCTTTGTTGACTTCTAACTGAAAACATTCGTTTTTGTATAAAATTTGATTGTTTTTCTCAAAAAATATTTAGTGTACCGATACTGTTGAACATCGTTTCATAAATCACATACACACACATTTAGGACTTTTTTTTATATTCGCATATTTTCTCAATAAAAAAAATTTTTGAAGATTATTAAACATAAGAGTGTATTTAAATTGGGAATGTTTTTAACTGTTTTGTTAACCTGTTTCTTGAATCTGTATGTTTTGTGTTACTGATAGATTGAGTTCTTTTTCTTTTGTGTTTTCTGCCGTGTGAATTAGTACACAAGAATGCTATAGGTAATTGTAACTCATTTACAAACTGAACATAAATTTTCTCTCATCTAAAAATGCTCCTGAAATATATTACTGTTTTTTTTTGCCCCCCAACATACATTTCATAATTTTTTTTTTGTTTGTTACATATTTTGAAAAGTAAAAGATGTATACACATCAATGTCTTGTATTCTCACAGCGTTTAGTGACGAGACAAAACTCATTATATTCGATATGGATGTGAAATGTGGTTTCTTTTTACGTTGATCTTATGAGGCTTAAACTTATTTCAGCCAATTGTTCAAAAAGTTCTTAGAAAGAAAAAAATCATCTATGCCAGAACAGTAACCTTTCATCACTACTGAAATTTTAACTTTTTTGTCCTTTTAATTCATATATTTCTACTTTTTTAACAAAATTTCTCTGTCTGCATTTCACCTCTCACATCTTCGGTATACATTCTGAATTAGAGTGAAGAAAAAAGGAAATACTCTTTAATCGTAGTATATACCATTGAAAGAAACGCTGCTTGTCAGTGACAAAATGTAGCTGAAAAGTTTTCTACAAAAATATGTTTAAGCACAGTTGTTGATTCCAGATGTTGAACAGGTATCGCTAAACTATTTTTATTTTATGTAGCGAACTTACAAAATCTACGTCAAAAAAAACATGCATCTTTTGCTTGGTTCTATCAAAATCATTTTCTTTATACTCTGTATGTGTTCACTTTCGTTTATTCAAATATAAAAAAGTAAGACTGTTTTATAGACTCTGGTAATACTATTTTTGCAGCATCATAGGCACGACACGAATTGTATTGTTTTCTTGAAATCATGTCTTTATAAAAATAGATGACATCTAAAAAGTATATGTGTACACAAGCGAGAAAAAATCCCTATATACAATGCCAATACAACGATTTTCTTTGTTGTCACGATTATCATTGTGCAGAAACCTTCTTTGAATGATTGTATCTGCTTTGTTTAAAATAAACTTATGATCGTAGTCTTTCTACCATCTGATAGCTGTTTTTCTTCTCCTTGAACAGGTTGTCAATTTTTGTTTTCAAAACTCGCGTAGGGTGCTAGTTACTGACAAATGTTTTTGTTTATAGGGTCTTTAGTCATTAACGTAAGAGGAAAACACGAGCGTGATAACGGGCAAAATGGGGGGCACTTAGCAAAAACGCTAATACTTTTACGTTGAAAGGAGCAGAAAGCTGGGAATGGTCTGAAATGAAAGTAGACATCTAAATCTAAAGTTTTATACTTAGCGATATGGATTTCATTTCCATTCATTCTCTACATATATTTTACGTCATAACTGTGAAAATAACCTTAAACTCGGAGGAGTATTTTACTTTTCTCATCACAGAAAACGAAATTCAAAAATCGCTATGAATAAAACTTTAGATAAGTGTTTTAGCTTCAAAATGAGGGTTTCACGATGAATCATCTAGGAGAAGTAGCAATTGTGCTGCCCAAAACCATATTCTAAGCAATGACGTCATCGCTCCATTAATTATAATTCAGTGCCTTTGGCAAAACTAGTATAACTCTGCAAAGCGAAGTCGTACAAACCTGCAACACATCTCATTTTGATCAGAACACTCTGTTCAACATAGCTCCATGTCTGTTAAAAGGAAGAACTGTTAAAATTTTAATTTTAATTTGAAATTTAGAAAAAGGTACTTTTTAGGGTTTTCAGAAATCTTTTTCAAAAACATTGAACTTTTTGGCAGTTTAAAATGGATTCTGAAAGATGACAGTTTGGGATACTTAACAATATGCTTACTTCAGTTTCGAAGAAAAAATCGAATTCTTGAGGCGAGACTCCCTTAAGTATTATTCTGCAACGCGTCCTATTCAAGTGGAAAAGGCTTTATTCATGAACTTGACAACAATTTTCTCATCTGTTACTGTTTAGTGTTTAATTTTTAACTCAATATCATCGATAAGCGTGTAAACTCGTATAAAATTGACTTCAAACATAAAATATCGAAAAACATAATAATACAATTTGTTCTACTTGTTTTTCTGGAAGACTCAAGCTTAAAACTCAACGTGTAAATGAATTTAATATTCAAATTTTCGAAAAATCCTCATCATTCTGATCGTTTTTCGATACATAAGTCAATTCGGATGAAATCTCTACCGTTTATTTTACAATGAACACATCTGCGTAAGAAAACCTTGACTCGAAAAGAACAATTGTTTCCTTCAATGAACCATTTCACATTCTTCTAGAATGTTGATAACTTTACTGCTATTCGTAACCATAAACTAATTTGGTAGATGGTAAGATGCTATAAATCGTAATGGCAATCGTTAGAGTTTTTCAATAAATGAATTATTATAGTCAATATTTCCTTTTAAAAACTATGTTCGAAGATAAAGAAAATAGTTTGAGAGTGAACAAAGACTTTTACTATGAAAGTTAACAAACATAGTTTTTAGTGGCTAAACTTTCGATAAACAAACATTTGAATAATCGTTAATAATCATCGATTAGCAAATTTTGTTAACCGAGGTCCTGGTTCGATTCTCAGTCATGCTTTTTCTGAATCTTTGTTTATCGAAAATTCACTCGCTAAAAACCTGTTTCTTTTTTAAAAAGCAAATAATATGTAGCTGTTAAGCATGGGCGAAAGGAAAACATCTTTCACTTTAGTTATATTAAGTCAAATGTTAGCTGGTTGGTAAAAATATGGCTATAATTAAATGCTTAGAACCATTAACAGGCATCATGCAAGAATTATTACAAAATAAATTTAGTGGTTTATTGCAAAACCAAATCTATGTTATACCATTTTCACGTGAAAATCTCGAAGAAAACAACAGAAATGCTTAATCAATGTAAAAATACACAACTATAGCAAAATGCCACTCTATACATTATCGGATTCTCCATCGAGTGATAGACACAATCTGTCGAATCCTCACGATTCAAGGAAATTTTTCTTATATCGTACATTTCTTAGTCCAGACTAAAACGATAATGTTGCTATTTTAACCTTAAACAGTTACTCTATTCCTTTCAACCTATTGCAACATCATCAAAATATTTAACCGAGTAGACATGAAGCAGGTTAACGCGACAAACGAGACCTCTTCATCATAAGTCACAAAACTAACCGCATACTACGAAAAATAAAAGAGAGCGTAAACATCAACACAAAATCAAGTCACTTGTCTACTACCCAAAATATTCCCCGAAACACACCAAACGAAAACTACGTCTAACTAGATCTTATCGCAATAGAAGACCACTCTTTAGACTTTCCCTTACCGAACAGAAGACCGAATGGTGTTCTATTTTCTCAGAAGTAGTATGAAATTTAAAAAAAGTTATCGTTAAAAGCATTACTGTCGTATTATATAATTTTAGACTATCCGAAGCTTTCTGCTCCTTCCAAAGTAAAAGCCTTGGTGTTTTTGCTAAGAGTCCCATTTTACCCGTTGTCACGCAATTACTCGACAACGCTCCAAGCTTTTGAGCTCAAATTTTTAGCATAAGCTATCTGGACAGTTACCATTAGTCACCGTAAGCACCGTCGAAATCGAATGTATAAGAAAAAAGATTTTTCTTACCAATGTCAAATCGTTGTATTACCATTGTATGTGGGATTTTTTCTCGCTTGTGTACACATATACTTTTTAGATGTCATCTATTTTTATAAAGACATGATTTCAAGAAAACAATACAATTCGTGTCGTGCCTATGATGCTGCAAAATTAGTATTACCAGAGTCTATAAAACAGTCTTACTTTTTTATATTTGAATAAACGAAAGTGAACACATACAGAGTATAGAAAACTTTTCGGCTACATTTTGTAACTGACAAGCAGCGTTTTTGTTGATGCCAATGCACATTTTCCGACTCCACACGTTTTGAAACATATAAATCAACTGAGATCCCAATACCTTATGTTCGGTTTCTGAGATAGAGGTCTTTGAAATCCTGGGTTTTCTCGAAAACCTACTAACTGTCAAGCACATTGGAAATATTTAATATTTTTAAACATACCATTAGATAGAACGTTCATTTCTCTAAAGAATAACATATTTTCCACGTTAGCATTGCTTAGCTAAGTTAAATCGCATCAAAAACTCGAAAAGTCGGCTAAAACATTCATGATTTCACTGATGTTGTTGTATAACAGTTCTGTGTTGACTCTAACTCGGTCATTCTTTAACTCAAAAACGTAGAAAATATGTCGTTTGTAGAGAAATGAATATTCTATCTTTGTTGTCTCTAGTCTATATCCTAAACCGTTCCGGTTAATTGCTTTAGTCATTTTTGAGAGAGTGGTCTTCTATTGCGATAAGACCTTTTCCTTGATAATAACGACAGAAGGTGCGCATTTGATGCGGTTCAGGACCGTTTGTTTCTGGGAAGGATATCCTTCCGGATAATTGAAACTTTCTCTTTTATCACTACTACAAGCTTTTAAAAATCTTTTGTTTGTAAGAGTAAGTTTTTCTTGTTGTAACGTGGTTTCAGAGTAAGATAGCAGTGCTATTAATGATAACTTTTTTTAAATTTCATACTACAGCTGAGAAAATTTTTTAATGCTTTCTTTCCTACAATGGTCACGGCCCTACGACATCCCTGCTGCCAT